GCCTTGACGTATGCCCAAGGCGCGCCGACGCCCAAGTCGGTCTTTACACCTTTTGAAGTAGGTCCTGCTTCGGACATGCCCGACACTGATATGGGGGCCGACGACGACGACAGCGCTACTATGTAGAAGACGCAACCGAAGCGTGCATAATCATTATATACCGCGTCTTTTCTTCTACCATCGCTCGCACAAGATCATGATACAACATGGATTCGCATATTATAGCTCATTCGATGTTGGTGTACTAGTACTAGTAGTCTTCAACTTAGTTGGTGTCGTTGCCGCCCTTTCTTCGTCCTACATACCATACTACGTGTACGTACATGGAAGGATGGAACCTGCTTGTATGAGGAACTAGATAGTCCCTGTCGAGAGTGAGCGCTGCATCGTCACGCTGAGCTGGCGCCACCTACGTTGGCACCATCGACTTGTCCTGATGCTACGCCTCGAGCGTCTCGGTGCATGCCACGTCAATGAAGCCGTCGGTGCCACTCGAATCGGGACTCATTGGGCTTCCATACGCCATGTATCATCGTGTCGAGCAGGATGCTGGCCGAGCAAAGGACCCGAAGACCGAAAGCCTCCTGGCATGGACGGCGTCTCAAGCGTACGTCCAGCGCGCAATCCACGAAGAACTACGCAAGCAAGCCGCACGAAGTCGTCCGGTGCAGGCGTCCCAAGCGCGATCGCCCCGTCGTCGGCGCAGCCTACGTGTATATTAGAGCGCGCTCGTACTCGTTGATTGTACCCTACGCAGCCCTTGGAACGGGTCGAGTGCTGTATAGCTCGTGGAGTTGGATGGAGGTCGAGACGCAGCGGCTCGGCGGCGCTCTTTGGCCGACAACGCGCAGATGAATCAAAGCCTCGACGAGGTGGCGCAAGATGCAGAGAGAAAGCCACGGAGCGTCGGCGCCCGCGGCGCCGGTGGCGGTTCCGGCACGAACGAAGCGGCGCAGCACGTTCAAGGGCACCAAGCGTCCGTAGTTGCAGCCGCAGACATATTTGAGGGGACATCGCGCTGCTGGACGATCGCCAAGAGGATCCGGCCTGTCGACTACGGCGCGGAGCTGCATCATGCCGAGCCGAGCCGATTCGAAGAGTACTCCCTTCTTCCCTCATCCACGATGAAGAAGGGCGTCCGAAAGAACATTTCGTGGCTCCATCTGGCTGCATCGTATGACAACTCAATTCCGACCGAGCCAATGGCCTTGCCGGATTCAATACGTGGCAGTCGGAGCGTCAAGGTGTAATTCCTTCTTTGCGGCAGCGTTGCAACTATTTTCGCGCAAGGGTGCCGCACCTTGCCACGGAATGGACGACGACCCTCGCGAGGTCGCTCGGGACAGGTCCAAGGCCCAATGAAGGCCCAAGGATACCCTGCCCACTGGCTCATTATATAACCTTAAACTGTCACTTCGATGCAGTCGTGCGCTCACCGAGGCTACTCGTTGAAGCATTGCTGCAACACTGCTGCAAAGAAGGAATTTCTCTTGCGTGTATCCTGCAAAATGATTGGCCAAATCCCGCGTTCGAATGGCGCCCGGCGGGCCAGCCGGCGGGAGCTGCCGGCGGGCGGTACTACGAGGGAGGGCAGCGCTGGCAAGGACATCGTCAAATGCTACTGCACTAAGATGCTCGTCGCTGAGATAAAGGAGCGCATACCACCATGGCAGCGAAGGAGAAGATTTCCTCAGCGAGCACGGCGTGTAAGCTGCATGATTAGTCGACGCCAATGCATTCAACATGCACACAACTCTGTTCCATACATGGAATCTTATGCAAACTTCAAAGTCCTACGACTCGCGCCTTAGACCTTGATGTTGGGCTCCTTGATCAACGCCTTCTCGCCATACGACTGGTGCAGCTTGATCGCGACAAACGCCGCGAGCGCAAGCACGAACGACGCGATCTCCAAGCCAAAGCCCGCGCCGTACGAAACGTACCCGCCGAGCGGCTGCACTTGGCCGGCCCAGCAGCAAAACGCAATGAGCGTCGAGCCAAACGTAGCCAATGTAAAGATCGACGCAAAGGTCACAAAGCGCGACGTGGCCGCGCAGCACGTGACAAAGAGGACGAGTGAGAGGACGCTGAGGAGGCCAAAGGCCATGCCGAGGGTTGCAAACGCGAGCGTCACCTTGCCGAGGGACCCGCACGACTTGTCCATGAAGCCGTAGAACGCGTCCTTGTCCATGCCCGCGATGCGCGTGCTGATCATGGCCGTCGAGCTGTTGGTGTTCAGGTACTCGGAGCACACGTCAAGCCCGATCGCAATCTTGGTGACTGAGGAGCCGTTCATCTTGAGCTCGCCGCCGGCGCCGGCCGTGCGGTAAAAGCTAAAGCACTGGTCGAGCACGATGCCACTCGATCCAAAGTCGGCGTTGACGCAGTAGCCCCACACGCCTGTCGTAAACTTGACGTTCTGGTAAGCAGTCGCATTCTTGATGTCGCCGGGGATGACCGTGCTGGACCACATGGGGATCGCGAGCGCGATCGTTGCGAGCGTGAGCGCGGCGACGCTGAGGAAGATCGCAAGGAGCCCGGTCCACGAGCACGCCATCTTGCTCGATCGGTGGTGAAAAGCAAACTAAGATCTTGGGAGGCGTCGCTCGCTGAAACCGCCCGCGGCCTCTGATTGGTCCAATCTTTTCGAAGCCGATCAGGGATTGGGCGTTCGAAATTCTCCGGCGCCTCTTGGCCCAGCAGGCGCAGTAGAAAGATATGTTCTGGTCCCCCAAGGGCGTCGTGACGCTCGTGCTCTGCATCGCGGCCGCGGGCTTCTCGTGGACGCAGCTCGTGCTGCCGACGTGGCTCGAGTCGGCGACCGAGTCGGTGGGCCTCGCCAGTCACTGCGTGCGCGGCGTCTGCTACTCCTTCTCGCTCCCGCCCAACGTCGGCGAAATGCAGCGCTACGCTGGGAAGCTCTTGATCCCAGCCAATATGACGCTCTGCGCCGCCTATGCTGGCAAGTCGTGGAACGCCACGGGGCATATGGTTGACGGCGCGTTCCTCGAGGCGACGTGCGGCTCGATCGGGCACGCAGCCATGGCCATGTGCCTCATCCAAGCGATCCTCGGCACCTTCATGGTCGCTGCCTACCTCACGTGGACGTGCGCAGCGACCAACAAGTCGTGCCTCCTCGCGCTCTGCAAGCTCCTCGCGTTCGCCAGCCTCTTTGCGAACCTGCTCACCATCACGTTCTGGATGGTGCTCAAGTCCCGGCTCCAGACCCGAGCAGGCGTCAAGGACGGCCTCGGCTTCATCTGTACGCTTATCTCGGCCGCGCTCTTTGGCTTGTGCGTTGTCTTGATTGGCATGCTCCGGCTCCGCGAACGCCACGAGAAATCGCAGCGCAATTTGCTGCGCGCCAAGTCGTCGCTGCAGCAAAAGTCGATGGCCGCCGTGTAGCGACCTCAATGTACGAGTTGTCTTCGAAAGCCATACTTAATATACACTATGTACCCCATTCAGAGGCTCGAGCTGTCGTGGGCTGCCGGCTCCACCTTGGCGCCTCCTGAGATTGACAACGAGATCCGGATAAGAGGTGTCGTATGCGGACAAATGCGGGACCAATAGTTTGTATGGAAATGGCCCTGGCCAATTGATTTGGAGATTGCTCTCATGGCCGCCAACATGCTGCAGGTCGTCGCGGGGACGTACGAAGGGATGCTGTACGGCTGGGAGACCTCGATGGATGACCTCCTCGCCAAGAAAGCCAAGCTCAAGATGATCTACGGCTACCCGGCGCACACCGAGTGCATCAAGTCGATCGCGATGATGATGGAGCACGACGGCAAGACGCTCCTCACGGGCAGCACGGACGAAATGATCAAGTGGGCCTCGCATCTATCGCCTCGCCCTCTTCTCACGCTGCATATAGGATCTACAACGTCAAGCGCAAGGTCGAAGTCGGTATCCTCATGCAGCACAAGGGTACGCGCGACCATCTTGAACCTCGAGGATCTCATAGATGGATGGTGCATCAGGCGCCGTCACGTGCCTCGAGTACTATGGCAAGTCGCACGTGCTCAGTGGCAGCGCCGACAACACGATCTGCATCTGGCGCACGTCCGACTGGAACTGCGTCCATATCCTGGGCGGCCACAAGTAGACGCAACTGCCACGAACGCGCGTGGGCTTAGCATCGCTGTGTAGGGCGCCCGTCAACTCGATCGCCGTGCACCCGAGCGGCAAGCTGGCGTTCTCGGTCGCGCGCGACAAGACGCTCCGCATGTGGAACTTGGTCAAGGGCCGCTCGGCGTACATTCGCCGCCTCGACCAGGAGGCCTCCGAGGTGTTCCTTTCCCACGACGGCAACCGGTACGTTTTCCTATATATCTCTACGACATCTTGCTCATGCCTCTACCTAGGTATGGTCTTGTCATGGGCCGCGATGTCTCGCTCTTTGGCGCTGCCAACGCCGATGTACGTCCTTCATCCTTGCTCTTCGCTTGGCTCATACCAACTGCATCCTAGCTCCTCGCCGTTCTCGAGCACAAGAAGAAGGTGAACACGGCGGCGTTTGCGACCACCGACCTCGTCGTCTGCGGCCTCGACGACGGCAGCTTTTACATTCACCGCGCGTCGGGCGGGTACGCGCTCGATCGTGGATCCACGATGCTCAAGTTGCGTGTTTTGTAGCGTTGTCGCCGAAGTCAAGCACGCGTCGCTGGACGCACGCATCCGCTGCATGCAGATCGTGGCCAAGCCCGATGAGACCGCGCTGCCGTTCATCGTGCTCGCGACGTCCAAGGGCGTCGTGCAGGTGTGGGACCTCGCGGACTTTGCGCTTGACGGCAACGACACGGTCGCGGCCAACGCCGACGTGCAGCCGATCGTCTCGACCAAGATGTATGGCTCGGCGCTCGTGACGGCGCTCTCGGCGTGCAAGACGTCGCACGCGCACGGCGATGAAGAGGTGCCCGAGCCTGTCGTGGAGAAGAAGCCCAAGGCCAAGAAGCCGCAATCGACCAAGGACATTGTGCCCACGGTCGTCGTCGAGCACGAGGTCTCGGGTCTCTCCAAGGGCCAGAAGAAGAAGGCCAAGCGCAAGGCGGCGATGGAGGCCGAGGCGCCCAAGGAAGCGGCGGCGAAGGACGAGACGGCGGCGCCCAAGAAGAAGAACAAGAACAAGAAGGCCAAGAAGACGCCCACGACGTCGAATTAACTATCTCTAATACATGTAGACTCTGCTCCCATGGGTTCGCATGACCCGAAGCGCGTCGTTCCGGCGGAGGATCCTCCGCGTGCCACGTTTCAAATCCGGCAAGGCCATTGGCTCAAATAACACGCCAGGTTTCGATATCCTGTCAAAATGCATACGTGGATCCAAACCTGTAGAACACAATACGTCAACTTTGGGAGGGTCATCATTTCCGATCTTGCCGGGTTGAAGTTGTCGACGCGCCATGATGCCAACGCTCCTCCATGACCTCCTCCACTTCCTCGGGAACATGCTGCATGGAGTGGTAGACCACGTCGGTCGCTTGCTAGGCAACGCGCCCGCGACCCTGCTCGAGGACGACGCGGTCCTTCCTCCCCCGCTCGACCCACCGCCATCGTCGTCGCTCGACGCACTGCCATCGACCTCGCTCGACGCAGCGCCATCGTCTTCGCTTGACGCGACGCCATCGTCTTCGCTTGACGCGACGCCATCGGCCCCGCTCCGAGAAGACCTCGTCGCCACGATCGACCGACTCGCCTCGGACACGAGCACGACCGTGGCGAGCGCTGCGGAGCGGGCGCGTGCTGCGTATGGACCGACCCCACTCGTGTCTGGGCACCCTCCTCAGCCCCCTCCGACCTCGTGGACGTGCACCTTTGCAGAGCCGATCGACGTCTGGGTCCACGACGTGGCGCGGCAGCTCATCGAGCACTGCAACATGGATCCTTTGCTCACGGCATGCATCGATCTGGCGGCCGTCGACCCGGGTATCGCGCGGCAGTGTCTCATCGTCGGCCTCGCCGAGGTATTGCAGGCGACGCCTCAAGAAGCCACCGGCATCCTCCACACCATCTTAAACGCACACGTGCGAAACGGGCAGGTCTTGGTCGAGTCGTTCCTCCGCGCGGCCCGCGTGTTGGACCCGGCGCAGCTCCTGCCGTGGCATCTTCTCATGGAGTACGCGCTGCAGTGCAACATGCCGTACTCGGTGCTCCAGTGCGTCGAGCGTGCGGGCGCAGGCGATAGTCAGCATTGGGCTATGGCCGCCTTCAACGCGATCGGCGACACCGCATGCAAGGCCAACGCGTACTGGGTCACAGTGGCGTCGACACCGCCACTGCAACTGCAACTGAGTTACGCCAAGGCTCTGGCAGACTTGAGCCAATGGTCGCTGCTCGATCCGCCGAAAGCCACGAACGACTCCTTGGTCGCCCTCGAAGCGGGTGACTACACACGCGTGGCGTCATTGGCCAAGCTGCGCATCGTGCAAGACGGCATGCTCGAGCCAACGATCGCGGTGACCAAGGCGGTGCTGGACCAACAAGATCTCATCAAGATCGCAGACGTCAGCGCCAATCTTCAGGTCCCGATCATGTGCATCAAATGTAGATGGCTCACCCGCGCATGTACATGTAGATCCAAGGGGACGGGCTGGCGCTCGTCGAGCGTTGGAAAGAAGGGCACAAGCAGCATTGCGACGAGCCCCGCGCTCTCCTGCGGTGCCTCGCGGTCGAGCAGCGACTCCTGACCACCCTCAAAGCCTCTTTGCAGACTCGGGCGGAATGGTTTGTGGAGCGCGTCGCCGTCGCGCAGCGGGATGCTGCTCCGCACATCGTCGCCGGCGTTTTCGCCGAGCTCGAGACAACGCTGCAGCTGCTGCCCGGTGCCTCGGACGTGCGGCTGCTCACGAAGCTCGTGCAGAACGGCTTGGCCGAGGACGATCATCTCTCGACCGTCGACTGGACGGCACAACCCGGCGCCGGCGGCTGGACAGCGTTCCAAGCCGACGCTAATATGTCGCTGTGGGACCTGGCGTGGAGCCAGCTCGAGAACCCGACCGACAAGCGCGCGGGCAAGGTCTATTTGGCACTCGCCAAGGCGTGGGACAATCAAGGAGCACCCGAACTGGTCGTGCGCGCGCTCGAGATGTATGCCAAGAGCCTCCGGTACAAACCCCAGATTGTGTATTGTGTACCGAGGACATGGTGTGCATAGGTGCACCGGGGCGTCCACCTTCGACTTTCTCGGGTTGTGATTTCAGCACCGCTGCGACAAGGACGTGGCCAGCGCCATGCGTCGGCTCCTTTTGGACACCGGCACCCGCGTGCCGACGGTGGCTTTGGTGCCGCACACGCACGCGATCGCGGCGCAGTTTCTGGCTGCGTTCAAGCGCAACGACAAGCCTTGCTGCCACCTGCTCGGCGACTTGCTTGTCCGCATGTGCGTCGACCACCCGTACCACGTGGCGCACGTCATCGCGCAGCGGCTTTTTCGAAACTCTCGGGAACTCCAGAGTTTCACGCAGTGGCTCTTCGAGAACCCCCGCGACTTTGTCGGCCGGCGCATCCGCCAGCAGTCGGACCGCGCGGCTCGACTCTTTGACGCAGCGTGCAAGCTGGCGGCGAGGACGTCGGCGTGCTGGAGTTCGTCGCCAACGCCGAGCCGCTGGTGACCCATATCTGCGAGAGCCAGAGCATGCTTAACGACTGGTTCGATCGATGGGAGAGCGTGGACATCGATGCGCGCCTCAAGATGCTGGCCGATGGCCCCATCACGCTCCCGCAGTGGTTCCTGACAAAGTTCCCGGACCCGTATGCGTGGTACGACCGTTCTTTTGCGCATGCAACGACCAAGTTGTGGGGTGTTGTAGGTACCAAAGCCGCCTCCAGTACACGCGCACACTGGCGTCATCGTCCGTGCTTGGCGTGGTCATGGGTCTCGGTGACCGCCATGCCGGCAACTTTCTCCTCAACACGATGAACGGTGGCGTTGTCTACATCGATTTCGGCATTGTCTTCGACCACAACTGTACGTCACGATGACATACATGTACCACGATGCATGACGTGATATGCGTATAGTCGACGGCGCGACGGAGCACATTGAGGCCGTGCCAATTCGCCTCACGCGCAACCTCGTTGCCGCGCTTGGGCCGAGCGGCGCGGGCGGCTTCTTTGCCATGGCGTGCGCCGAGACGCTCGAGGTACACGCCTTGCATGAGGATGACAGCTGACTTTTGTGTGAGCGTAGGTTGTGCCAGCACCACGTGACGATGCAGCGCCTTCTCGCGGTGCGTCTTTTCGTTTGCAAAAGCTCATTTTACGAGCAGCGGGTGATGTAGAGCGACCCGGTCGTCGCGCCACAGAGCGTGCCATACACGGAGGCCCGCTTGAATACCATCATGCCGCTTCGCAACGTGTCCATCTCGATGACGATGATCGACGACATCATCGCGGCGGCCACAGACCCGCAGTCCCTGGCGGTCATGCCCTCGAACTGGGTTCCGTGGTTTTAGCAGCCGCAGCTAGCGCTCGCTCGTTTTCCAAGTTCGGAATTCTCAATACATGCCATTGCATTGCAGTCGGTGGTTTGAGAGAGATGCACTCGCTCGTACAAGTGCATATCTTGCAGGACGCGTGCCATTGACCACTGCTTCCAAATTGGTGACTCGCATTTAGCTCATGCCTTTGCATCGTTGATGGGACCCGATGTGCTTGACAGAGGTCCCTCTTGCGTCGGAGCATGAACAAGTACCATCCTAGTAGCGACATGAGCGCAGCTTTGTTGCACTCTACGCCATCGGGCTTACCGCTAACGCGAATGAGAAATGAGATGTCGGAATCGGGTGACGACATGCATGCAAAGTCGATGGCGCGTGGATATGACGGCTGGACGATGCGAGGCGAGGAGGTTGCATGCAGCAGCGCAGGTCTGTATGCAATCGACGACAGTTCCTGGTAGGTCAATCCATGAGCCCACACAAGGTTCATCCTGTCCTTGAGCTCAAGGATACGACGGTGTACTCGCAGCATCGACGCGCGGATGTGTCATCCCCATCATGGCTTGGCGCCATATCGACTTCAACCTTTGATAATCGATACCTGTGTAAATAAGATATCCCGCATGTATGTATTCTTGCCGTATTGGTAGAAAATGATGCAAAAAGCGAGAGCTTGAAACCTGTCAGAATGCATCGGCGCAAACGAAGGCCATTGGCCAAAATGAACCGAGGGCCTATTCGCCGTCGCCAGTCAAAATCCAACGAACGCCCTCGAGGAAGCAAGCGCCATGGACTCCTGGGGTACGCACGCGCCTCCTGCGTAGACGACGATGGCCTCATGCGACCGTATGTAGATGATGAAGAATTCGAAGTGCCCACGTACGCGACTTTGGCCATTGGCGGCGAAGCGGCGGCTAATGGACTCGTAGGTTGAACGACAAGAAGCCTGTCGTCGCCAACTGGGACGACTCGGAAGAGGAGGAGGAAGAAGTCAAGCCCGTCGTCGCCGCCAAGCCGGCCGCGCCCACGGGTCCCCTCAAGCCCAAGCAGCTCAAGAAGATGATGCTCAAGGAGCAGGAGGAGAAGCACAAGCTTGAAGTCGCGATCGCCAAGGCCCGCGCCGAGGAGGAGCGCCACATGACGGCCGACGAACTCAAGGCCAAGCAGCAGCGCTCGATCGAGGAAGCCGACTTTGAGAACACGCTCGACGCGTTTGGTTTGAGCACGTCGAACGCGGTCAAGACCAAGGTCGCGAAGGCCGGCGACCTCGAGACGGTCGTCTCGGACATGAAGCTTGTGACGCTCGCCGACCACGAGGACCTCGGGTCGCTTGTCGGCAAGCGCCTCGTCAACTCGGTATGCCTCCATTCTTGTGGGGCTTGCCCCTCATCCCATCGCTGTCTAGAACGCCAAATACGTCGTCGAGTTTATGAAGACGCTCATCTCGCACGCGTCGACGAACCTCACGGCCAACGACATGAACGACCTTACGACCATCATCAACGTACGTCGACCTCGCTCGATTCTCTCGAGAGGCTCATGCCTGTGGGATGCTGCGTAGGTCATCAAGAACGAGAAGATCCAGGCCGCCAAGCCCAAGGGCAAGAAGAAGAAGGTCACGGGCAAGCAGGGCTACGCCAAGGTCGAGCGGGCGACGGGCGGCGCCGGCGCCGGTGCCAACGTGGAGGACTACGACTATGGCGATGACGATTTCGATGATTTTATGTAAACCTACAAACCGCCTTTTGCTACCATACTCCGATCGACTAACTAAACTCTTGCGACGACAATACTATAGTCGATCCCACTATAATGGGGCGAGGCTCGTGCTCGAGGTCTAGTAGACTATCGGGTGTTGTCAGGAATATATAAATATAGAGAGCCGCCATGGAGACGGCAACATGCTACTACAACGGCGACGACGCCTTCGACCCGCTCCTGCAGCATGAGCTCGCGCTCGAGATGACGAGTGCAAACGAGCAAGAGACCCAGCGAAGCGCATGCGATGACGCGCAGCTCACGGCCGTCCTTCTCCGCGTCAACCACGCGTGGCTGCACGCGTTCGCGTCCCATCACGAGCGGCCGTGTCTCGCGGACGAGCTCGTGTCGCGCGACTCGGTCTGGCTCAACGACTACTTCCAGAAGCTGCGCGTGCTCCACGACCCGGCGTCGTCGCATGCCAAGCTCATTATGCAACGGCTCCAAGAGTCGAGTCGCCGGCAGCAGCAAGCGACCGCGTACGTCCACGATGGAAGCGACGCGAGCCGGCAGCTGGTCGAGCCATTAGCGCTCATTTTGCACTGCACAACGCAAGACCGCTTGCCCGAGCCCCGCCTCGTACGATAAACTTCTTGCGACCTCCATCAAAAGCGCACTCCCAACGACAGCGTAGGTGCCCTTTCTGCGCGAAACAACGCTGTACTTGGAGAGTCCGGCGCTGATCGCGCGCGCCAACGAAGCAGGTGCGCTGGCTGCAACACCATGTGCTGCTCAGTTCGATGGGTAGCGCTATCGACGCCGCTGTACCGGCTGCTCGTCGTGCGGCAGAACACCGAGGCGCGCATGCTCCTCGTGCGACTGCTTTTGACGCTGGCCCAAGCCGACGCGACGGCCGTGGTCCGCGGCTGCACCATTGGCGGCCAAGTAGGCAATGACGCAGGGTGTACGCGGTGATGGTATCCTTATCTGTAGGGCCGCGCGATGCTGCCCAATATCTTTATCCAGACACTGCCCAAGCGCCATCCCGAGTGCATCGAGCTCCAGACGACCGCCGTCCGGCTCTTGCACATCTTTGACGTGCGCAAGAGCTCGTTCTTTCTCGACATTCCGTCGGCCAAGAGCTTGCATCGCCCGAAGGCGCTCTCGCCCGTCGTGCTGGCGGCGCTGCCTGTGCCAACGTTCTCGCTGCCCGACGACGTACGCCGTCCGTCGAGTCCATACAAGGAGAGCGTGCGGCCAAAGACCCACACGATGCCACGCCGGCGTCCATTTCCGTCGCCAACACCGCGCGCGGACGTTGAAGTGCGCCGGCCGTCGACGCCGCAGAAGCTTGCGCCGCTCGAGGCCATCGATGCGCGGCTCGGCGCCTTCGACTTAACGCCGGGCGAAGAAACCGGTGTCCGTGCACAAGCCGATCCCGATGCCGTTTCTCGACACGCCGCAAGCCGAGGATCTGCCGCGGTCGTCCATCACACCGACGACGCGCCAGCGCAAGCCCGAGCTGCAGTCGGTCGCGAGCTTCGAGTGGTACTGGCGCACGCTGCCGCCAGGCCACGCCAAGCTCTCGGACTACGCCAAGCTCAAGGCCGTGTGCCGCGCCGCCGTGTCGCAGCACAAGATTGGCGACCTCGAGCGCGCCTCGGAGCTCTACGCACTCGCTTTGCGGCTTCCAGAGCCGGTCAACGTCGAGACGGACGGGACGGCACCGCTGCGGGTCGCGCTGCTCGTGAACCTCGGAAGTGCCCACCTGGGCCTGCGGCAGTGGGAGACCAGCATCACGACGCTCCGGACTGCTATCGTGGCCTGTCCCGAGCATGTCATGGCACACTACACGCTCGGCATGGCGCTCGCCGCCAGTGGGCAAGTCCGCGAGGCCATCTCCGAGCTTCAAGCTGTCGCACCGTTGCACTCGCCGGTGCTGCACCTCTCATGTGATTTTGTATTTTTATTCTTTTTTGCCAGGCCAAGGCGCAGCTGCGACGCCTCGAGGGCCGACGGCCACGCAAGGCGACCGCGTCCACAGCGACGTTGCGCTCGGCGATCGGCCGCATGGCGACGCAGGCTGAGGCGCTCGACGTGGTGTGGGCGACGCTCTTCCGGTGCCTCGACAAGTCGCGCTGCGGCGTCGTGAGCGTCGAAGGCTTCCGCGACATGCTCCACTTGGCCAGCGTCACGTTGACTAAGGACGAGTGGCGGTGTCTCCTCGGGCACGTGGCGCACGAGCACGACGCCAACTACATTGTGTACGCACGCCTCGCATCGGACGTGATGCTGCACCGCCCGGCACCGCCGTCGCCCGTCGACAAGGTGTGCTTCAACGGTCTCCGCCGGCGCACGGGCATGGAGCGCCTCCGAGTCTCGCTGCACTTGCTCGCACAGGTACCACCATTCTACCATACCTCTACATACAAGCAAACGTTTGCGGGTTGTAGCGCGAGGCCAGGGCGTTCTGCGGCACGGTCTCACAGTGGGCGCGCTTTGGCGTCGACAAGACCATCGATATCACCTCGAAAGCGCCGCCCGTCTCGTCGACGTGGATGCCATTCGTTGTGCACGTTCCGCCGTGCCCGACGTCAGTGCTTTCGACGCTCGCAACTGTCCTTGTCGCCCAGAGCACGGCCAAGGGCGTCGCATCGGCCCACCGCGCGATCCGGCTCCGACGTCTCATCACGCGTAAGGTCGTTGAGACGTTTGTGGCCAAAGGCGTGGTCTACGCGATCGCCAGCACAACCAAGCTCCTCCATGAGATGCGCCACCGGCTCGCGACGACCAGCGCGGCGCACGAGGTCCGCGGTGGCGTCGCCTTGTACTCGCTCCGGCACCTTACCGCCGCCCACGCCCACGCGCACGTGCATGCAAGAGCGCAAGCCAAGACGGCCCTCGAGCGTATCGCGAACCGCGCAACTGCCGTTGTCGCCATGCGCGCCGGCGCCACGTTTGATCTTCCGACCTTTGGCGCCCAGGCCAAGGTGATGGCAGCGCGCTGGCGAAAGACAAGCGGCGCACTAAGCCAAGTGGCCACAGCAAGTCGCAAGCACTGCGTCTCGTGGGTGCACGCCGGCGGCTCGCTCCACGACATTGCGACGCTGGCGACCCGACAGACGGCGCGGTTCGGGAAGCAGCACCGGCGGCTCGTGGCCGTCGCCGACCACGCGACGCAGATCGTAGTGCAGCGTCGTGACGCAGTGGGTATCGTCGCGACTCGGGTCGTGCGCGCGAAAATCGCCTATTACACGGTCTTTCATGCGCTGCAGACAGGCCTCTCGACGGTCTCGGGCGCACCGCTGCCCGCGTACGACCTGCCGTGGATGTTTCGCAAGTACGAGATCCTTCCGAACGACGAGATTGAGCTGCCCGTCGAGGAGCCGACCGAGCAAGTGGCAGCAGAGGCAGGCGGCGTCGCGCCCTGGCACACGGAGCGCACGACTTTGTAGCTAGTCGAATGAGGTAACGCGAGAAGGATGTGAACGCATCACCAACTCTACGCGCGTCGTTGCCTTCACTGTGCTCAAAAGCGCGAATGGCGAGAGCGCAAGACGGATAATCCGTGGACGCAGAGTCGCCGTCCGCGGAATTATCCTCACCGTTGCCAACTTCAACCCAGAGACTTCAACCTGCCGATTCCGCCATCGGATGGCGTAGAAGTTGGCGGGTCTGTCGCGTGCTGTCTGCCTTCCGCCGCCAGAGGCCGTGGCCTTGCGCTGCGTCCGTGTCTTCTTCTGCTTGGTGTGGAGGCGTGGATACGTGTACCCCGGGGTGCGGTTGCCGTCAACGGCGCCGCGTGGCGATCGTGGGTGCACCACGGGACCCTTCACAGCCATGTATACCCCGGGGTGCGGTACCGTGTCCCTTGGGATCTTGCGGATTTTTACTCTCATCACGCGAATGATGCGCCGACGTCATCGACATTTTAATGCAGCGCGGTCGCGGATTGGCCGAAAGTGCCGCTCAGCTTCAACAGGCTGGATTGCGTCAAACAGTCCACGGATGCCGACGGCGAGTGTTTTTAGCCCGGGGGGCTTATACCGCCATATACAAACACCAAGTACACGCGAATCCACGGTGCATTTTTTTATTACGTGCAACGGGCAGCATAATAATAAAAAAGTATCTTTTTGGCGTGGGAACTTGCTACCAATTGGGCGAATAAAATGCGCGCGCTGATAAAAATAGCACCAAAACGAAAGCCGTCCACTTTTCCTTTTCGCCTCTGATGCTCACGACGACGACCCCCGTGCTGACGGCGCCCAAGCCCCTCGCGGTCGGCAAGAAGCCGCAGAACCCGACGGCCAAGTTTGTCATCGGCGCCGGCGTCGCCTGGTCGTATGAGCTCGCGCTCGGCCACTTCTTCGAGTTTATCAAGGTCATGAAGCAAACGCAAGGCCACAAGTCGTACCTCGAGCTCGGCCGCGAAATCACCAAGGCCAAGGGCATTTACGGCATCTGGGACGGCTTTTTTCCGTGGGGCACGGTGCAGGCCATCGCGAAGGGCTCCGTCTTCTCGTGGGGCCAAGCCTTTGCGCGCATGCAGATGGTGCCGCTGGTGAAGCAGGGCACGCTCAGCGACCGCACGGCCGAGATCATTTCCGGCGGCTTTGGCGGCGGTGTCCAAGGCATCTTTCTCTCGCCGACGCTGCTGTTGAAGACGCGCGTCATGACGGACCCGGTGTTCCGCAACAAGATGACGGGCTGGGAAACGTGCAAGAAATCGGGCCAGGTCGGCATGAACGTCATTCGCCACGAAGGCATTTCGGCGCTCATGAAGGGCAGCATCGTCTTCTCGCTCAAGCGCGTGGCCGACTGGTCGACGCGGTATGCGTTCTGCGTCCTCACGGAAGAAGCGCTCTTCAAGGGGGACGACCCGAAGAAGAAGCTCACAGTCACCGAAGAGCTCGCTTCGTCGCTCATTGGTGGTACCCTCTCATGCATTGCGACGCTTCCGGTCGACGTCATGGTCGCCCAGATCCAACAGGCGTCCAAGGCCGGCGCCAACGTCGGCATCATCTCGACCTTCAAGGACGAGTACGCCAAGGGCGGCATGAAGCGCCTCGTCGGCTTCTCGATGGCCGGCTTTATCCCGCGCTGCTTGCACTGCGCGTTCACGACCATGGTCATGAAGACCGGCTGCTCGGTCGTCTACGACATGTACGAGCAGTACACGGACGCCAACTAAGTATATGATGATATCGTAGCGTGATATCAAGTAGTCGTAGTCAGTTTTGTAATTAACTTCTTCCATCATGCCTGGAACGCTGGTGGCAGGAAATCGCGGTAGTTGGCTAGCACGTCGTCCTCGCGCGCTTGCATGACCTCGTAGTCGGCGTCGTTCTCGTGGTCGTAGCTACGACAGCACCCAAGATGAGATTGCACGGTGTCGACGCAGCAAAGCTACCCGATGAGGTGGCAGAGCCCGTGGGCCACAAGCACGGGCAAGCGGTCGTCCAACGTCGTATCTATGACCCAAGTGAGGCGTTGTCGACTCGACGTGCATGGCCACGCACCGTGGTGCTTGCAGAACGACTGCACGTACGGGATGCCGATGAACATGTCACCGAGGTACCGGTCCTCTTCCGTCGCGACGGACGGCAACACGCCGGGCACCGCGATCTGCCACCCAAGAGAAGCGAAATTCATTAGCAAGAAAGGCGAAGTGTATTACCTTGTAATTGGGAAACGAGAGGATGTCCGTGGGCTTGTCCTTCTTGCGCGTCGTGCGGTTGAGGTACTGGATGTGCTTGTTGGTCGTGAGGAGCAGACCGGCGTCCCTAGGCCATGCGCTGAAAGATCGTTGGCGATGGTGACCATGGCTACCATGGCGTGGCTGACGACGCGTTGAGGTAGCGCAGCATCGCGTTGAGCTGCGCGTTCAGCTTGGCCGTCGACAGCGGCAGCTTCCCGCGGAAGTCGCGCCGGAGCTGCGCGTTCACAATCACCATGGCCACGCAAACTGGCGGTTTTTTATTTTATTTTATTTTATTTTTTAAAATAATTCAAAATGCCCAAGTTGAAGTTGCACGAATCTCGACAAGGATGTCGATCGTCGGCGTACCACCACCGCTCGCGCTCGCGCCGGCGCGAAACGCGGATTCTTGTGGCCACGCGCTCACCTCGAGAGCGCAATGCGATGTCCGACCAGAAGAACCACCCCAAGACGAGGATGTATATCTGAGAACTAAGATGTTGTTGAGCAACTAAGATGAGGCCGAAGCTACTCGCGGTCCGCGACGCGCCGGAGGTTGATGTTGACTCTGGCGTGCGCGATGTAATCTGCGAAAGCGTCGACTTCGGCTGGGATGTGCGTGTGCTTCAGTGCTTGGGTGCACGCCGCAAAGTCGTCGGGAAGCTGGTCGGTGACGAGCGGGACGCCATGGAAGCATCGACGAGCTTCGCCACCCATGACAAGGATATCACCTACTTACGCATGAGCTAAATTGTGTCGGACGCGTCGGTGTACCGCTGCGCAGCCAGAGCGCTGTCGGCGTCGTCGCACGCGTCAAGCCGCCTTGCAAGTACACACACTGCGTGCCGAGGCTCAGCGACACGATTGGGTTGACCATGTCGAACTCGGCGTTGTCCAAGTGGCCGCCCATGCAGGTCCCGGCCGGGTAAAAATTGACGATGCCCGACTCGACGTCCTTCCCGTTAACGTAGCTTGTCATCGCGTACACCTCCTTCACGAGCTGCTTGAGCTCCTCTGGCAGCGGAGGAATGTCGGGGTCGGCCACGTACTCGCGCGCTGTCCAGTCGTAATGGGCGCCAATGTTGGCCCAGCGCAAGGCGTGGAACGCCTTCCACGCTGGCCGCCCATGCGTCGTCGCGTCTTCATGCCATGCGTCTTCCCAGAGCCTCGTCGTCGCAGCTCGATCGCCCGTGAGGTTGGTCACATTGTTATAGGGCTGTTGCGAGTGAGCTCGTACGGCGCGGAAGGCCCACTCGACTTGGGTCGTGATGGGCATGGCACCAGTAAGCACCATCATGCCGCTGAGCCCTTCGATCTCGTAAATGTAGGCATCGCGAGGGCTAAGGATGGTGTAGTCGAAAGCGAGCGCCTCGGAGGACGGCGCGCGGCCACGGAGGCGAGCCATATTGGCAGCCGAGTTGGCGTCCTTGGCATGGACGTCGATGACGCCCGAGAAGTCGACGCGGTCGGTCTGCCGATGGGCATCATGGCGACGCTGGCGTGCGTTCTTGTGGTCGCTACTCCGATGGCGGTATTGCTTCTCGAGCGGCCGGAAGCGGTCGACGACGTCGCCCGTGCTTGCTGCCCGCATTATATTCGGCACGACATGTTATATTCGGCAGAAGTGCTGGTGGCAACTGCCTTCAATAACGGATACTATACGAACTTATCCGGTCAGAGGCAGCCAAGATCGCATTTCGGGAATCGCGCGCGAAGGAAGAAGCGGCCGAGAGGAAGCGCGGGATGTCACGGCAGGTCGTATCGCTATCGCAGATGCTGGGGCACGACGGAAGGTAGACGCGGGTATGCATGAGGATGCATGAGGTCAACGGACAATGCAGGAAGCGCGATGGGCATGGCGCAGCGCTGCGGCCGCCATCGTACCGCGGGACGACGCCCCATGGAAGCGGCCATGCACCGAGGAGCAATAACCACATGCAGCCCGTCTTCCGATCGACAGGTACTCCATGCAACCTCAGCGGTATGGCTCCAAGCACGTCGCAAGGGTATCGACCGACTCAACCTCCGATCCAAGACGACTACGGCTCCCAGCGTCCGGAACGCCCATATCGGCTGCTTGGATCAGCGTATTCTACGTTGTAGGCTACACGGGGGCCTCGCAGGCGACGAGCTACACGTCCGAAGAGCCACAAAGCCTCTCCCAAGCGACGACGACATTTGCCTCGGCGAGCCAGGACGAGGTAGGCCATGACCAAGTGCGTGAGCTCTGAACGTCGAGCAGATAGTTCCGCTGCCCGCTCTGCTGCACTCTCGATATTCACGTATGCTCATGAGCATGACGGACGCCCAACGATCGACCATCTCGCACGCGACCCCCTCCTCTACGTCCGCTGGTCCAGACCCCGACGCAAGAAGTGCTTGCTCCGCTTCTACCGAAGTCGACGAGGTTGCTTTGGCGAGGGCCGAGCAAAAGAAGCGGAAACGCGATCAGCTTGACGCAGAGAAGCAAGAACGACGTCATGTGAAAGAGCAGCGCCGCATCCAAGCAGAGACCGAGAAAGCCGCCCGACGAGCATTGAAGCAGACAATGGATGACGAAAAGCGAGCCAAGAAGGAAGCGCAAGAAGCAGCGCGGCGTTTGCACGAGTCGACCCAAGCGGAAGCCAAGCTGCGCCGTCGTGGCGAGAAGGAGAAGCTGCGACTTGAGGCGCTCAAGAAGGCTCAAGACGACGCGGCGGCAGCCCTCTTGGGCAAAGTCGTTCGTCGGCAGGAGAAGCGCCGGATTGCGACCGAGCATGACAAGCGACTGCGTGCCTTGGAGTCAATGTTGCATGCAGCGGAGAAGAGTCGCACCGAAGAGACGAGGCGCGCGTTGCGCATGGAAACCCAAATCAACACGCTCGCTGCAGCCGTCGAGCGGGCGCTTCTGGAGGTGCATCCGGAAGGATGATGTTCATTCGCTGTATCTAACCCCTCTTGCAGAAAGCTGGACTGGCAGAGACCTTGATGGACCAGAAGAATGCTCTTGCCGCGTGCACTTCGGACCTCCAGAAAGCAGTTCATAATCTCGTCAGCGCCAACGCCCCTACGAAGCGCCAGGTGCAAGTCGAGTCGTTCACCCCGGTGGCGCCTACTCCCAAGCCCCAACGTCGTGCACGGTCGTCTGCGGTGCCAAACGCTGACGGTCCGCCGACGTTGCGACGGTCGCTTCGCATGGCACAACGTGTGAACCGCGCCTTGGTCGTGGACCCGCCCGACGCCGTCGTTCGTCAGCCGCCGCCGGCCGAGGCGCCTACCGACATCGACTATGGATGCTTGATCGCACTGGACATGATCGAGAAGGCGCGGGCGAAGAAGCGGCGAAAGGAGGTAGCACAGGAGTACTGATCGTTGTAACAAGACACGCTTCATATTCTTACGGGCGGCGCACGGGGCCGTGCCTGCATACCTAGTCTTGGTACTTGATCTACATAATGCAGCATGAGCACAGGCCTGATGTATGCTAGAACGCACCGGCTTCATGCCAAGCCACGGGTCCTTGACGAGCGCCGCGTACTCTTCCCGGATGGCTTTGCACGCGACGAAGTGGTTGACGCCGTTCTTCATGTAGCACTCGGCGACTTCTTCGCGGAGGAGCTTGACAGTCTGGTGCGAGATCATCTTCTCCTTGGCGAGATCCTTCTTGGCCTGCATGAGCATCGCGATGTCCACCGTGCCCGGGCGGGGCAGCACCACTTGACCGTTCTCCGCCATTAAAAACGCAAATAAGAGCGGAGTGGCCCGCGCCGGATAAGAAAGCGAAGGCCCCCGGCCGCACAGCCGCCAAACCATTGTATCATCCGCTTCTCATTTGCCTTTTGTATCGGACTTGGTATTTTTATTCCAAGCGTGCACCATCCGCATACGACCCGTTGCCGTCAAGAGCAAGCGCCGCCACGCTGCCAGCACAGACGCCAGGTAATCGTCCGCAGGCACGCTCATGCTGGCGCTGCTCTCAAGGCCATGAAGATACCAGGCCAAGTCGAGAATGCATACTATCATGCAGCAGGAAGCCGCGGGCGAATGTTGAGCTGCTTGTCATCTGCGGCGTCGGAACGATTGCCGGTACGCCTTCAACTGCATCTCGCATCGCCCCATTGCTACGAGCGATGGACCAAGCATGACTAGCGTGCTGCACTACGGGTGCTATAGCAGGCATGGTTGGTTCTACTCATTTTTTTTTTTTTTTTGGGTTCTACTAGTCTGCCATGCCCGTCACCGCGTTGGCAAGATCGCGTATCCGAATACGGTACGGATACCAAAGCACAGGAAGATCGGGGTCTTGCAGTTGACGATGGTCCGTCGGAAGCAAGCGCGGCCAAGGGGCCCGAGACATGGAGACGACGACGCGCCCGCGAAAGCCTTGTCGTATGCTGGCTGGCCGCGCGCTGCGAAGAAGCGCCGCCTGGCGACGATGCCCATCCGCGTCGACGTGCCGATGCACTCGGCACCGAGCGACCTCTGCATCCATGTTGCAGTGCCACCGAGCAGCAATGTCCCGGGCCGCGACGCAACAGCGGACCACAGCGCTACGTATCGCCTCAGCCTCGTGCAAAGTGATGCGCGAAACGGCGTGTACGACACGGTGTGTCTTGGCGATGGCGAGCTGGTCGAGACAACGGCCGTGGGCCTCTCGCCGCCGATCCTCACGGCGCTTGCCCACGTCGCAGCCGCCAACTACGTTTCGGTCGTCGTTTCGATGCACCCTACAGTGCTGCACATGTACGTGCACATGGACGCCTACGCGACGCGCAAGCAGGCGGTGATGGTTCAGCACATGCGTCGCTTCATGGCCTGGCTCCTCCTCGCATCGAGAGACGAATGGTCGTACCCATACCTCTCCGAGCTCGAGGCCATGACGACATTCGCCGCTCCGCCGCTGATACACCCGTCGCAGCTACTCGAGCATATCGTGCCATGCCCGTTCTCGGCGGCGGGCGACGCCTATGTCCCGAGTCCGTATCTCCTTCCGACGCTGCGCCGATACCAGCGCGCCGCCGTCGCATGGATGCTGGAGCGCGAAGCTGGCGCCGATCCCAATGTACGCACTCCATTTACTCGTCTCGTAGTCCTCATGGCGTCTAGGGTGCGCTTGCTACGTTGCAGACGACGTATGCCACGCACCTCGGGACCTCGATGGCGTACGACCCCTTCGCAGCCGCGTTCGTCACGCCGGGCACAGCACCGACTACCTTCGTGCACGGCGGCGTCCTTGCCGATGAAATGGGCTTGGGCAAGACGCTGCAAGTGCTCGCGTGCATCTTGTCGCACCCGTGCTTGATGCCACTGACCGTGTTGGCGGCGGCGCCACCACGCGCGTGGCCGAGTAATGACGTGAGCTGCGTGTGCAACTCGAGCGCGATGCACAGCGCGGGATTTGTCCGCTGCACATTGTGTGGCATTCTCCAGCACCGCATCTGCACTGGCGCGGACGCTGACGAGACGTTCCACTGCGAAGCGTGCTTGCGCGTCGCCCAGCCGCTCTGGCACACCAAGACGACTCTGATCGTGTCGCCCCAGTCGATCCACAAGCAGTGGGAGGCCGAGGTGCTCCGGCACACGACGCCTGGCGCCGTCACCATCTACGTACGCTTGCTCTGTGGATACGAGGTGTGATCGAATACGGTGTCTAGTGCTATAGCGGCATCAAGGCCATGCGGGCGCGTCTTCGTGGACCGTCGTCCGAGTGGCAGTACTGCCGGGCACCGGTCCTCGCTGCGTTTGACCTTGTCTTGGCCACGTACCATACTCCTGACGCTATCATGCACCGACACGACTGTCGACATGTAGGTACGAAGCGCTGCGCGATGACGTGCACTACATTCGGAACGCCGACGCCCGACGTTTGCGCCAGGCCAAGCACTACCGCATCGCGGCGAGTCCGCTCACGCATCTCTGCTTTTGGCGCGTCTGCCTCGACGAAGCACAGCTCGTCGAGAGCCAGCAAGTATCCATCGCTCTACTATCTGAGATCTGACATGGGTTCTAAATCGGACGTAGACGCAAGCGGCCGTGATGGCGTCGCATCTCTCAATGCAGCACCGGTGGTGGGTCACCGGCACGCCCTTTGGCAAGAGCATGGCCGACGTGCACGCGACGTTTGCCTTTCTGCGCGTCCCGCCTTTGGACGCCAAGGAGATTTGGCGCCAGCTGACGCCGCATGACCGCCTCGTGAACGCGCTCCAGGCGCTCGTTTGGCGCAACCGCAAGTGCAATGTCGACGATCAGATCGTATTGCCGCCGCAGACGACGCGATTCCACTGGCTGGAGCTCTCGAGCATCGAGGCGCACTTCTACGAGACACAGCACGCCGCATGCACCCAGTACGCCCCTACCGCACCGACATTCTGTCCAATGTCAAGACGTAGGAGCTACGCGGTCGGCGACGATGTGACACCCGGTATGCTCCAGACCCTCTTGCGCTTGCGCCAAGCCTGCTGCCACCCGCAACTCGGCGCGCACGGCATCCGCATGCTCCAGTCGGGCGGGCGTGTGCTCACCATGGACGAGATTCTGGACGAAATGCTCCTTTACGTACGCTAAGCTATTGGGGCTAAGTGTCTTGATGGCATGTACACTATTAGGCAACGCGGGCTTGCGAAGACGCGCAGCGGCTCTGGATCGCTGCGACCAACGGCCTCGCCGGCATCGACGCCATTGAGCACGACGCGGGTGCCGCCATTGCGCGCTACTGCGACGCGATAGCTCTTGTGCAAATCCACTGGAAGGACTTTCGGGCGGACGTGCTGCCGCGACTGCACATGGCCGTCAACCTCGAGCGACGGCTCGTCGATTTGGTGCCTGCAGCATCGCCGACTGCCGATGCGTCCGTGTCTCCGTGCATCAACGCCAAGGACGAGCACGGCCTTCCTTCGCTTGCTTCGCTGCAGGCGTGCATGCGCCCAGAGCGGCGCGAAGACGATGGGGTGCTGGCGTGTCTTGAGGCGAATCCGTCAGTCGTGTCTGCAACAGCAACGGCGCTGGCTGCGTCGGCACGCCAACTGGAGCACTACTACTTGAGCACAGCGACGGCGCAGCACGACGCTGCCCAGCACAAGTACATGCAGGCACATGGCAACGTCGACGCGCGTCGCTTCTCGGCGGCACCGCTGGCGACCATTTCAAACGCGCGACTGGACCGGCTTTGCGCCTCGTGGCTGGGGCGTTCGGACGGCTACCAACGATTTGCGCGCAAGTTTACGTCGACCGCCGGGCTCGTCATTGTCGCGTCGTCGGCGCTCGAAGACTTTGCGAGACGCCGTACTGAGATGCACGACGCGCTGGTCCACCTCAGTGCCGCCACGCCATCCCCACGTGACGTGGCACGCTCCGGTGAGCACACTTGTGCAAAAGATGCAAAGGACGAACGCTCGACAATGTAGGCAACTGCCAACGCTGTCGGCAAGACCGGTACGGCCCCGTGTGCGACCACTGCAAACTGCAGCCGTCGCTCGATTCGCTGCAGGCAACGCTCGTAGACGACGGCGACATGGCCGTGCTCTTGCAGGTGCTCGACGAGATGCAGCATCATGACAACAGCCTGCTCTCTGCTGTCCGCAAGGAAGTGGCGTGCGCCGCCAAGCTCTGGCAAGCGCAGCATGCGCGGCTTGGCGGTCTCGACGAACTCGCCATGGCCAAGACCACCATGACACTGTCGACCAACGCCAACCACGGGACGGTATCCACACCGTCCGCTGTGAACTTTCATTCACATCATGGCACTCTGTAGGCGATCAACGAGCTCCACGCGTACGAGCTGCCCGGAAGGCGGGTGACGCTCGATGTGGAGCGCGCCGACGCCCACGCGACGCTACGTACTGCGCTCAGTCAGCTCCGGTACCTTCGACACCTGCAACAGCACCGCGTGACGTCGTCCTCGCGCCGCGACGACTGCGTCGTGTGCCACGAGGAGCTTCCGATCGAGCACGCCATGTGGTCGTGTGCTCACGTCTTGTGTCGTTCGTGCACGCAAGCGATGATGCGGCCGGCGCGACGCGCGCTCTGTCCGACCTGCCGCTGCCCCAGCACCGCTGCGTCGATTCAACTGGTTCGAGACGAGCCGCTGCGCATCGGTACGCGATTCTCCAACCTCAAAACGGTTTTGAGACTGGCGTTTGAGATTGAATGGGGACGTATAGGACCCGAGTGCGGTACCAAGGTCGACAGCATCGTCCGCTGCATCCGTAGTCTGGGCGACGTGCGCGTACTTCTCTTTTCCCAGTGGCCGTCCATGCTGCGCATTCTCTCGACAGCCTTGCAGGAGGCCGGCGTCCACTGCCTTTACCCCGAGACTAAGAAGGACTTTGAGAAGGAACTGCAAGCGTTCAAGGCATCGACGACGTCGGCGTGTGTGCTCGCATTGCCTTTTCGACACGGCGCCAACGGCCTCAACCTCGTCGAGGCGTCGCACGTCGTCTTGGTCGAGCCGCTTCTGAACGGGTCGGTGGAGCGGCAGGCCATTAACCGCGTCCATCGTCTCGGGCAGGAAAAGCCGACAACTGTTCACCGCTTCATTGTGCAGCACTCGATTGAGGAAGGGATTTTGGCGCTGCAGGCCCGCGACGCCAACACGCCGCTGCACGCAACCGAGGTGGTCTCGGCAACCGACTGGCGCCTCCTTCTACAGCAGGTGAGTCGCAATCGATGGATATTTTGATCCTCATTTGGTCGTAGGAGCATGCCGAGATGAACGACGGATTCTGGTCGGCGCCGATGGGTGGTCCGACGCGCCAGCAAGTCAAGGACCGCTTGGAACGCGCGAGATCGTTTGAGCTGCGGGCCACCGACGCCCGCCTCGTCGACGAGCCAACGCTCGTTGTCTGTGGCGTATCGGTCAACGTGCACGTCGCTGCGCAGCTGCTACGAGGTACGCCACGTGTCAGCATGGTCGTCAAGCATCTCTTGGCGGTGTAGACTGCAGCGCTGTCGATGAAGACGATGCTGCGTTGCTTGCGGTGCTCAAACAGCGTCTACGCGTCAAGCTACATGCGCTGGGCTTCCCAACACCCGAGGTTGTATCGTCAAATGCTGTCCCCGCCCAAAACGCCGGGCCGGATCGCACTTAGCACGATG